CCGGTGACTTTATTCTTACCTAAATCCCTGCTTGGACACCTGGAAAGGCTCCTGCTCAGATCATTAGAGGTGACTGCTGCTAGAAAGGGTCCCTGGGGATGCTGCTGCCCACACGGTTACAGCTAAGCCGGTGGCACTAAAATCTTGATGTTCCCTTCACACTGGATATGTACCCACCAGGTCCCTCTGCTGTTGCTACAGGCTTTATTCTCCTCTCTGCTTCTAAATCATTTGTGCATGACGTCCTAGGAAAACAGGTTTGAATTGATCACCCTTGCTACCTTATCTAATTTAATCCAAACCTGATACCAAACAGGAGTGAGGGAAGCCCGGTGGGGAGCCTGCATGTGGCAAACCACTTGGCTGTGATGAACAGCATTGTTAATACCTGTAATGAAATGCTGGAGTCATCTGGTATTGCTGGGCTCTTGAAATAAGTCAGAGCCTCCCCTTACTCCCCTTGCCTGATGCTACTGGGCTCCCACAAAGGCCAAGCCATCCTGCGGAGGCGTTCGAGAGGGAGAAGAGTTGTCAGGGGACTGACACCCACCAGGACCCCAACCCCTAGCTGTGCCACCACTGCACGGGCAGCAGCTCACCCAGAAACCCTCATGCTTTGCCCCCTAGTCGAGCCTTCCCATGAGCAGGGACAGCCTTCGGCTCATCTCATCGCATTTACCGCTCTGGAGCCTCTGAGGGATTGACAGCAAAAGCCCTTGGATGAGTCTTTTTTTTTTTTTTTTTTGGATAGTGAATGAAATAGTATTTGGGCTGCTGGAGATGAGAGGCTGCAAGTGGGACACAGCTGATCCTGATGGCAATTTGGCTGACGCTGACATGGCAGAACTGGTCCTGCAAAAGTCCCCACGTCCCAGCACACAAAATGGGTGAGAAAAAGCATTTTTAAAAGCAAGTGGGGTAACCCTGCAGATCCAGTGCCAGCCCATCTCAAGCCCAGGGCTCACCTCTGTCCTCTCTGGATGAGTAGGTGCTGCAAAAATTGTCTGCTTTGAACTCAGACTGGGTTGTGACTCAATCCTTGGGTTGTAAAGACGTGTTTCATCATCTCAGCGTGGAAAGTGGCTGCTGCCAGCTCTCTGGCAGCAGTGAGGCCGGCCAGGGCAGGCTGGGAGGGAATGCAGCATGGTGCCAGAGCTGCAGGTCGTTAATTACACCCACTGGAGCCTGAATTTCATCTAATCTTTTGGAGTTACAGCACAACACAAAAGGTTGAGGGGAAGTAAAGGCTGAAGAGGAAGTGTTTCAGACAAAAATTCTGGTAGGACTCTCTTCCCAGTGACTGTCTGGCCACAAATCCATCTATTTTGGTGCAAGCATGGAGTGCAAAGCCCAGACCTGCCACCTGGAAACTCAGCCTAATGAGTGTCCTGCTGCCTGTGGAGTTTGCTTATCCAGGAGAATGATACCTTTCATGGTCCTGAGGTCCTCCCAGGGGGAAAAGGGCAATCAACCCCTCCTGCTGACAGCAGCTCGGTGCAGGAGCCCTGTGAAGGTGGCAGGGTGATCAGGGAGAGCCCTGGCGTGGTGGGGACAGGAGGTTCCCCAGTGCCCATCAGCTGCCTGCAGATGTCTATGCCTCCCTCTGCTCTGCTTCAAACAGCATCTCAGGGCTTTCTTCTGGGTCTGCCCCAAAACAAAAGCTACTTGCAGGTACTTTAGCATGAAAAAATCACCAAAAACTAAGAGTTAACTGGTAAGGAGCAGCGCTGCTTAACTTCACAGCAATGGAACCTTGTTATTTGATTTTGCTTTTGGACTTAAATTGGATGTCCGATTATGTGTCTGGGGGTATTTGGCACCAGATGGGTAATTACATTTCTGACCAACTTCAGGACAGAGCTGAGCTGCTGGAGAAGCCATATGGCCCTAAGGAAGGCTCTGAGGAGAAGAGGTGGCTCCAGCCAAGCACGTGGCAGTCCTGGTCACAAACCCACATGCCTTCTCCTGAAGAAAATCTGAATTTCTGATAGCCCAGGAGTCACCCTCCCTGCAGTGACTGTACTGTCTCACCTCCAGCTCGTACTCAGGAAGCAGCAGTCCTTGAAATCAAGTAATTAGGCCCAACTGCAAAGGCAAGGAAAAGTTTTATTGACTTTATTGTGACAGTGAATCACACCACAGTGTCATGCTATTGATCTGGGCTTGTGCTAAGCAAGGGCAAGTTTCGTATCATCCTGCCTGGGGTTAAACAAGCTCTCCCTGCTGCTCAGGCCTAGGACTGGCCCAACTTTTCTAGGCTCTTAGTCTAGTTCACTGTTAAACTTGTGAAGCTGTTGACTGAGATGATGTCAGTGCCATTCTGCAGGGAATAACCCCTTTCTGCACCCTCAGCTTTTCTGCCTTCCTCTTTTGAACAGCCCAGCGCTATTGATAAGGGAAGACTGAGGTGCCTGTGCCACGGTATTTGGGGATACCAGTGGCTCTGGGCTAGCAGGCAGCCTGCGGGACCTGGGCAGCGGCGCCTGGTGGTCTCTGCCTGGGAGAGAGGAGCAGACAGAACCCAGCCCTGAATCCCACACTACGCTCAAAGCCGAGCTGCTTTGAGCAAAGCTTGCCCTTAAAAGAAGGTATTTAAACAGAAGGAATCAATTGTGTTAAGTGCAAATTCATCTGTTGATGTTGCTGTTCGGGGGCAGAGCAGCCGTTTACTGCAGCATGTGATGCTGGGGAATCAGCGGCTCTGCGCTCATTAACGCTCTGGGCCACTAACGATGCCCAGAAGTGGCTGCAAACAAAGACAACTGAAGTCTGAAGGATTAATGCTGCCTCCCACCAATGCAGCCCGCAATCCATCAATTACCTATCTGCTTAGTCCTTTTCTCCATCCTTTTACAATCTAAATAGCACATTTTATAGTCGCTGCTAAGTGATGTGATCAACATCAATTACCTACTAAAAGAGAATCAAGTCTTGATTTAAAATTAAGTGCTGCATTTTGCCATGTTCTTTATATGTAGCCAACAGAATAATTGCAGTGACATAAAAACTAATTACACAACTCCACAATTAGGCCTCCCTCCTAGTGCTGTGATTGTCTTTAAGTACATTGATGAAAAATTACTCCCAGTCCTAAATTGCTCTATCACACCCATCTTCTCCAATACCTTTGAAAAAAAAAACCCAAACCTGCATCCCATCAGATCAAACAGAAGAACTTGAAATGCAAAAGATAATACATGCAGAGCATGTTTTCTAATCTCTTTGATGCGCGAGTGGTTTCAGACGGTGGGATTAGGCTGGTATCGCCGGAGGATGCAGCATCGCTGCTCTCTGTGATGATGGACCAAACATCTCATCAAGACTTCCCAAACCGCCTGGGGCTGTCACGGGGCAGCGAGGCCAGAGTCCCAGCACCCTGCCGCATCGCCATCAGGCTGCAACCTGGGGCGAAACTCCTCTTCCCTGTGCTCCAGCTGCCATTTGGCTCTTGAGCTGCAAGCAGAGGAAAGGCCAGCCCTGCCTGACTGCCAGCCTTGGGTTTGGTGCATGAAGAGGTTTTATCACTGCTCCTGCTGTGTCTGAAAGAGGGGGCTGGCAGAGAGATGACTGATCATCCCATTAGTGCCGTTTCACCTGGCAGAAACAAGGGGAAGAGCAGGATCCAGCTTGCCTGCCCCACCAGAGAGACCACAGCAAGGTTTGGGCAGAGACGAGCCCTGTCTTGAGCTGGTGGCAATGCTGCTCCAGCAGCCAAGCGGGCCCAGAGCCCCAAAAGGAAGAGAAGGAAGAGGTTGGAGTATAGCAGCACTTTCACACATCCAAAGGCCAGGAGTTACATCTTGCCAGGTATCACATACCTGCCTGAAAAATCATAAAATCCCAATAAAAACCATAAGCCTCTATAAATCTGTGAAGCACTCCTGATGGGTTATGATTCCAGATTCTGAATATGAGGTGTTTACATCTAACCCAGAAAGACTGAAACATTTAATTTACTGGCAGTGAAAGCTGAGATTTGCTTACAACCAATCCTCTGCCTCCAGGATGTCTGTGGGTGCTGGCAGCAAAACACAGCACATGTGTGAGTGGAGCCACGGGCCCAGGGGACCGAGCGGGCATGCAGATTCCCACGGGTTGCCTTAGGCTGTGCCATCCTGTCAGTTGTCTCTTGCTGGATATTTAGGCAGCGCAGGTTTAATTTTGGGGCTGTAAGGGTGTTTTTGGCTGCTGCCTGGTGTGCGGTGGAGCCCGCGGGCACCCTCAGCCTCCGCCGAGCCCTTGCAGGGGAGGAGGGTTGCATAGCTCCTGACTGGGGGTTTTCTGTCATTTCTGCAATGCCATCACTCAGTCACCAGTGGGGAAAAGGGTGGGAAATGCTTTGGCACCCCGTTTTAATCAGCAGGGTGCTGCGAGCTAATGAGGCAGAGGGGACCCACAGGGTCAGGCCTCCAGCAGCCCCCGTGCCTTCCCATCCGACTTTTTCGCCTCTTATTCAGCATGGTCCAAGGCTGTGAATTAACACCCTTGTACTTACCTGAAACTTCACCACCTCCCTCAAAACGTGTGAAAAATAAAGAGGGTGCTAAAGCAGCCGGCGGCAGGGAAGATGTGATGTGTAAGGCCAACCACATCTCACGAACCTCGCAAATCCCACCACCTTCCTCCACACAGCCCGTCGGGGGCCGGGGAGCTCAGGACGCCCCAGCGCAGGCGGGTCGAGGCTGCAGCGGGCGGGGAAGGCCCAGGGGCCAGGCACCCTTCCCCGGCTGCACCCCCGGGGTCTCTGGGCTCCCCCAGGTCGGGGATAGGGGGTGGGGGGGCGCACAAAGGAGGGCGGTCTCCACCCCAGCACCCGAGCCCGAGGGCCGCCGCCCGGCGAGGAAAGGTCCCGGCGCTCGCGGCATAAGGCCACACCGAAAGCAAGCAGACGTTATTCGGGAAAGCCATTTATTTTACCCTTTTTTCCCTAAAACCGGTACGGAA